CCAGCAGCCAGCCCAGCAGCCAGCCCGCCCAGCCCAGCCCAGCGCCAGCCCAGCAACCCAGCCTAGCTGGCCCAGCCCAGCCAGCCCAGCCCAGCCAGCCCTGCCCAGCCCAGCGCCCAGCCCAGCCCAGCCCAGCCCAGCCAGCCAGCCAGGCCAGGCAGCCCAAGCCAAAACCAAAAATGAAAAGCAAAAAACGAAACCCGCTCAAAACTTTCGCTCAAACCCTATACAATTTCTATAAACCATATATCCTAAGCGCTACACCCTGAACCACATGCCCCAGACTCTGAGCCCTGAGCCCTAGCTTGTGGGTTTGGGATCGAAGCCCGCATTCCCTCATTGCGGCTCCTCGTCGCGCCCTCCGTGACTGAACGTGCGGTTTGGGGTTTAGGGTTTAGGAAGAGGCTTCGAGATCGGTGCAGTCGGGATAGGGTCAGAAGCCGGAAGAAGTACAGATTCTATTCCCTTTGGTTCCGAATTGTAGCCCTGGTGCACTATACCCCTAACCTCAAAACCCTAAACCCCCAAACTCTAAGCACCAAGCCCTAAACCCAAAACCCTGAACCCTAAACCCCAAACCCTATAGATCCCTTAAAGGAACCCTATAGGTCCCTTAAAGGAACCCTATAGATCCCTTTAAGGAACCCTATAGATCCCTTTAAAGGAACCCCCAAACCCTAAACCTTAAAAACCCTTAAGAGAGTCACTGCTTTATTTTTTTTGGGGTAGTTTAAGGGTTTAGGGGTTGAGTGGTTGAGGGGTTGAGGGGTTTAGGGGTTTAGGGGTTCAGGGTTTAGGGGTTGGGATTTGGGGTTTAGGGTTTAGTAAGAGTTTAGGGGTTTAGGGTTGAGGGGTTTAGGGGATAGGTTTGGTGCTTGGGGCTTTGGGGCTTTGGGGGGCTTCTCACCCGGAGTTGCCATGGACTTTGCCCTGCGCGTCGCCGAATCGACGGCTTTCTCACTACACGCTCTGATTCTGGGCTCCTTGCTAGGGTTCCTGTAAGGGTTGTTACAGGGGCTATTGTCAGGGTTCTAGTGTACTTAGGGTTTAGGGTTTAGATTTGATTCTGGGCTCTGGTTACTGATTACTGGGAGGATCGTGGGACTTAGTAACTAGGGTTATATATATGTATATAGACATGGCAACTAGGTACACTTTCGTATAACTCCCATAGTAGGTACTGACAACTAAGTCCCAAGAACCTCCAAGTAAGGAGCTTAGGTTCAAGTGGCCATAACAGGGAAGCCATGTGATTTGCAGCGGTATGGTAACTAAGTTGTCATTCCTTGACGTGGTTTTTCCTTGCATCCATGGTCCCTCAGAGAGTTCCTTCACAAGAGCCCAGGATTGGACTAACGGAGCCGTGCCATGGTGCCTTGGAGTTCACTCTGCAGGTCAAGGGCTCCTTGCCGAGATGGTTCTGGCCTCTGGCCGGTCTGCTCCTGGGCGTGGCGTCCTATGCGAACTTCTCGGGCTCAGAAGAGGCCGTCTTGTGTGCGCAGGCGTACGTCGCGGCCTTTCATACCGGCGCCATGTGTCTGGGTTCTTGTTAAGGGATATATTTTAAATTACCATACTAAGGAAACCCTATTATTTACTATAAATCCCGATTATGGCAGCTTAAATTAAATCCCAATAACAAGAGCCCCAGGTTTTGGCATTGGCGGCTCCAGCATCACCCCGCGTCGGTTCTGGCCCCGTTGCTCTTCGTAGGCCTCGCGGCGGTGGTTTTTTGGCTTCGGCTCGGGAGTTTTCTCCTCGCTTTTTTGGGGACCGCGGCCTCTGCAGGGATCGGAGCGGCCTTGGGCTCCCTCTTGGTGCGTCCGCCACGAGAAGACCAGCCCCTCCTCCAGTGAGCTCCTGGCTCTCTTATGGGAACAGCGGCTCTTCGAGTTTAAATTCCACGGGCCACGAACGGCATGCTAGCTCACGGTCAGCTGCGCACCTTGCAAAGTGAAGATGATCCTGTTCTGCAGCCGTGAACTCTGGGAATCCAAAGATTACACAAAGTCCTGAGCCGCACGGATCTCGAAAAGTGCGAGCTGCATGTGCAGTTAGAAGATCCTAAAGTTGTCTCACGTCTACCGTACTTCCCGAGTTCTCCTGGGACCTGCATGCCATCCAGCATTGAATGGTTTACCCAGAGAACCCAACACCCCTTAACTAAGGAATATACCTTAAATCATAATATTAAGGCCCCTATAATTTAAGGCCTATATCCCTTAATTAAGGAATTAAGGGGTGCGGGGTTCTCCGGGTATTCCGGGGTGTGGGTCCGGAACGCCCTAGGCACCGGACCGACTCTGCAAACCCCCCCGGTGTCCCGGAGCCTGGCTTTGGCGAGGCTACGGCGATGACTTCGACGACGATCGGCCTGGCGGTGACCCGGCAGGACACATCGGGCAAAAATGCATTGATTGAATTTTGGGTTTACGTGAGATTATAAGGCTTCTTTGCTGGCCCAGGTCATTGAGGGACCAGAGGTGCATGGTCTTAGTTGTGGCCTTGGGGTGCAAAGGGCATGGTCGCAACCGTTGGACCTCGAAACCTCTACCAAAAACCACCTCCAAAGTGCCCTGAATTATGAATTTTTATCCCCAAACGCTCAAAAACCCAGCCCTTCCCCAATAATAAAAAAAAGAAATAGGGACCTATAAAACCCAAAGAAAGCCCAGCCGCAGGAGCCACTTTCGAGGAGACCTTGGAGGCCCAACTTTGCAGCCTTTGCCCTGCCGGGTTCTAGGGGTTTAGGGGTTTAGGGGTTTAGGGTTTAGGGTTTATAGTTTTTGCAGGTTTTCTCGGGGGTGTTTTGCAGGTTTGCGTCTTTAGGGGGTTTTGGGGGTCCTTTGGCTGGGTCTAGGGTTTAGGGTTTAGGGTTTTGGGGGTTTAGGTTTTTGGGTTTTTTTGGGGGGTTTAGGGTTTAGGGTGATTTTGGGCTTGGCTTCCAGGTTTGGTAGGCTCTTGATTGCTGGCCACGGAGCTGCCGGGTTTTCGGTGCACCGATGTGTGCCTTGCTCACGAGGTACGATCCAAGCTCGCAGTTGTCGCGTGAGTGAGCGCGAGAGAAAGAGAAAGAGAGAGAGAGAGAGAGAGAGCAAGAGAGGGAGGGAGAGAAAGGGAGAGAGAGAGGGAACACGAGAGAAAGAGACGGATAGCCCAGGTATACTGTATGTTCACTTTCTACGTTTACATGTGCGCATACGTGTGTATATCATCGGATGTATGTGGGTAGGTAGGTAGGTAGGTAGGGAGGGAGGGAGGGAGGGAGGGAGGGAGGTAGGCATGCGTGCATGCATGGATGGATGGATGGATGGATGGATGGATGGATGGATGTCGACGTGTATGTGTAGATGTACACTCCCGAGAGCCCAGATTTATCAAGCTGAACCACACAAATTCACATAGTAGTACTACGAGTCATGAGTAGAGCAACAAATAGAAGTAGTAGCAATAGTACTGGTTTATGCTCCACGTTGAAGATGCTCAGCATGAGCCTCGAATCGGGCCCATGGGTCTTTCACCCATGTTGAGGTGTCGCATCTTAAAAGCACATCCAGATGATGCATCGCCTAACCCAAGCCCAGCCAATGTGAGCAGCCCGAAATCCTAAACCTTAAACCCTAAACCCGAAATCCTAAACCTGAAAACCCTAAACCCTAAACCCACTATAAAAAACCAAGAAAAAACCTAAACAGGACCTGAACAGTTTGGATCGGCACCTGATGCTGTTCTGCGCCTCGTCGAACCTGGCGGCGGTGCGGTGGCTGATGCAACTAGGCACCCGCGGGGGCTTGGGTTTAGGCCCTTAGGCGGTTTGAGGGTTAGGGTTTGAGGGTTAGGGTTTAGGGGTTTAGGGGTTTAGGGGTTTTGGGTTTAGGGATGTAGGGTTGTGGGTTTAGGCCCTTACGCTGTCTATAGAGCTCTAAGGCTCGACGTACCTATCTAGTATATACTTGGGCCTTAAAGAGACCCAGAGAACCCAAGACACCTTAAATAAGGAATAGACCTTAAGTTATCGGGGCCGTTAACATTAGGAGTTAGGTATATTCCTTAATCAAGGGGTATTGGGTTCTCTGGGGATACTCTACTACTACAGGGGTACATGGATGCCTTACAGCACTTATTGGGAGGCTGCACGTTTCAGGAAGAGATGAAAGTGCAGGTCTCGTCCAGCTTCGCTTGAAGTTCCCCGGGTTTAGGGTTTGGGGGTTTAGGGTTTTAGGGATTTAGGGGTTTAGGGGTTTTAGGGTTTTGGGATTTAGGGTTTCAGGGTTTTAGGGGATTTAGGGGTTTTAGGGGATTTAGGGGATTTAGGGGATTTAGGGAATTAGGGTTCGGGGTTACTTTCGAGCAAATGGCAATGCCTTAACCCCACGACCCAACTCCGAAACCCTAAGCCCTAAACCGAAAACTTAATACAGGGGCCTTAATAATTCGAACGGGCTTTTGGGGGGTTCCTCACTATACTGCTAGTATGATATACTCCGCTTTTCTAGTTATCAAGGCCTTTTCATTGAACCCTAAACCCCGAAGAGGAAGAGTGTCCTCCTCCCCGTGGCTCCCGGCTCGCAGGCGCCAGGTGGGATGCCTGCGACGCAAACAGCGCCTTCGCCGGCATAGCCTTGAGCGTTCGATAATGTCTCCCTTTTTCTTCCTGGTATAAGCGGTAATGGAATTAACTACGGTTGATGATATAAATCCTGCAAGGCCATAATAAGGAATATACCATAATTCCCATAGTTTAGGGTCCTTAGGGTAATGCTAAGGCTTTATATCATCAACAGTAGTAGGACTAGCCCCTGATAGTCCCTATATTGCCTATACTGTAACATACCCGCCAATGGCCCTGATTCTAATCGAAAGTGTGCAAAGAAAGCTTTGGTAGAAACGCATAAATGGAAGTATACTTCGTAAGTATTTCCCCTTTAGTCTAAATGTACACGCACACACACGCATATGTACATACGTATATATATATATATATATAAGTTTCAAAGCTGTGCAAAACAGAGGCACGACCTGCCTGCACGTCGCTTGCCGCTCGGGAACGCTGTCCATCGTCAAGGCGGGCTGCAGTGAACGGCGAAGCTCTCCGAGACTCGCTTGTCGCAAGATGTTGGGTTATCAGACGTTACAGTGTTATGTATCATCAGACTTTTAGTGTTATTTGTGTTACTCTTATACATGGTTTATGGGTTTCTTATCTGGGTTGTTTGGTTTGTTGTGGGTTTCTTATTTCGCCCTAAACCCTAAACCCTAGACCCTAAACCGTGGTTATTTGGGTTCTGTGAATTCTGCAGAGGGACTTCGCCTTTTGAGGGCTTGGGGCTTGGGCTGGGAGGGCCATTTAGGGGTTTAGGGATTTCGGGTTTAGGGGTTAAGGGGTTAAGGGATTGAGGGGTTTAGGGGTTTAGGGTTTTAGGGGTTTAGGGGTTTAGGGGTTTTAGGGATTTAGGGGTTTAGGGGTTCAGGGTTTAGGGTTTTAGCGGCTTAGGGGTTTAGGGTTGTAAGTGAGCCGAGCTGAGGGCAGGCTGCAAGCTCTTGATGGGTCAGTGGGAGCGAAATAGTAACAATATTCTGAATTCTCATCGTAGGTATAAAAACCGATAACAAAAGCTACAATAGTAAAAAGAATAATCACGACAATGCCAATAATAACCATAAAAAATAGTACTAGGGAGCTTTGCGCTCTGCTACATATGGGTAGTTCTCTAAATTACTTGACCGTTGGCGCAGTGACCAAGTCTTCAGGTCTAGAACAGAGCACCTGTTCTGAGACCACCCTTTAACCAGAAGCCCTAAACCCTAAAACCCCTGAACCCTAGAAGCCCTAAGCCCTAAACCCTAAACCCAAGACCCTAAACATGTCAGAGAGGCAACCCCTGCTCTGGAGTCTCAAAACCTTTCGAGAGCCCAGCACTTTTGCCTTGAACGTGCTCGCAGGAAATGATGGAGCACAGACAGTTACTCGAGGCGGGTTGGGCTTAGGAGTAGTGAGTAGGGTTCCCTAAACCCTAAACTCTAAACCCTTAGGAGTAGGGTTTAGATGTGCCAAGTCGGGGAGAGTCGGAGGTTCTCTGGCTCTGCCCAACCAGCCTGTGGAGATTGCTTTAGAAAGATTTGCACTTGTCGGAGGTGGTGAAGGCAAGGAAGACTGCAGGTCCAGCGCGTCTCACATGCCATCCCCATTCACTCACTTGCTGGTTCGCCTGCTCGCTCCTTCTCTGAATGCATGAACGCTTGAGTTAATCCACGAGTCAAGACTGAACGAGCCAATAAGTGGGTGCACGAACTTCTGAGGGGCCGCTGGACGAATGAGTGAAAGAGAGAATGAATTGCTTATGGCTAAAGCGGACGTGACGGTGAGCAGTAACGGCATGCACTGAGGGGTAGGGTGGGAAGGGTACAGTGGGGCGGGGGAAAGGTGAGGCCTGATAAAGTGAGACACCGACCTGGCATCCTCCGTTCGAACATAGGGGGTCTGAAAGATTTGAAATAACATCTCCTTACAGTCCCTAGGTCCTAGGTGCTTCCACTGCCTGACTGACAACTGCTCGGATGCGGCAAGACGTTAAAGGAGTCACATCCCTGGACTCCGAACGGACCTGCACTCAACCAAAACCTCATTTCAGTAAGTTACTTACCCCGAAGCACTGATTTGATTATTTTATCTATGCCCTTACGATGAAACCCTGTAGAAACCCTCACAGAAACGCTTATGAAGACCTCCCTTATCAACACCCTGATTGTAAGTATTCAGGCCCTTGTAGCAAGCCGTTAGACACCAAGCCGTAAC